CCCTGCTGAGCAGGGAGCCCAATGTGGGACTCGATCCCGGGACTCCAGGATCATGACCTGAGCCGAAGGCAGTCACTTAACCAACTGAGCCACCCAGGCACCCTGGCCAGATTATTTTCAATAGGGCTTCATACATTACATCGGACAGGGTAGAGATGGTTTCTTTTTTCATGTATATGCTATTTTTACCCAAGGGTTTTTCGTAAGACGAAAAGGGAAGAGCTTAGGAAAAGAAACTTAATAGTTACATCATTTTGAGATTCTCTCTACCATGTACTCACGGCTCTGATAAATTCTTTACACATTTGGTTTTATGGAGAATGCTCATCCCAGCCTGATGACCTAGGTTCTATAATCACCTTTTCTACTGTAGAGGAGAGAACTGGCCCCAGACTTCACAAGTCAGAGCAGAAGGAAAAATCGTCGTCAGGGACGGATTGTCTCCCATACTTCTCTTTTGACATCTTACTGCTCAGATATGTTGGAACACTGCCCAGCCTGAGCAGAGCTCCCCTCCAAGCCCCCAGCCTGCACCAGCCCCTCCAGGAAGGAAGATGGCTTCCCAAAGAATCCGTGGACATCAAAAGACTCAGGGAGCCTCTGAGCTTGGACTGAATGCCTGCGGTCATGGCAGCAGGTGCTTACAGAAAAGGCAGTCCCAATTGGGGCGGCTGAACTTAACAGGATGGCTGTAGGCATCAAGCTTCTCGGACACTATCAAGGGATGAGTGAGTAGCCCGGGGGGGAAATATCCCGCTATTAGCTGAAGCTGCAGCTCAGATGAGTCAGTATTTTATGCTACATTGGGGGGAAAAAAAAGTAGCATACTCTTCACATCTCCATGGTAACTTACTATGGATCTGCATTCCATTTATGAAACTCCTTCTTGACCTATCTATGCTTTCTGGTCCAGGACTGAATATAAACTGAGAAGCCATCAGAATCAAATCAGTCTCCTAGAAATATCAATACTCCACTGCACCTGGGTTGTTTCCACTGTGTAGACCCTGCCTCGGCCCCAAGCAGTGGTGACACCTGAAAAGCCTCAGGTGCCTGGAAACATTACAGTGCAATAGTATCTCAATTATCCGGTAACTCCGGATTTAGGGTTGCCATGGAAACCGGGAGCCTTGGTAACAGAGAAGGGAGATGACTCCTCTTCCTTCCCAGCACTGCAGTCCCTGAGATACTCCAACTTTCAGTCCCCTGGCCTTCCCTAAGCCGGGCTGTTTTATTTTATACCACCTTCAGGAATCTAAATTTTTCTCCAAAATAATGAGAAGCTGAATAGGAAATGCACGCATTTCTAGGCACGGACTCAAGTATTTTCTGCTAGCAATAGAAACCAGCAGTAGGGGTGATGGTTTTGACCGTGATTGGGAGTCAGATAAACTTGCGTTTCAACCGTGAATTTCCCGTTCATACGTTTTATGACCCGGCAAGTTATTTACCCTAAGGTTCAGTTCCCTCACACTTTAAGTGGGGACAGTCATGCTTTGGAGAATGATGAGCATTCGCCCGGAGCCGCTCAGCCAACGCTGGTTACCATCCAGGCACCGCTCAACTCTAGGGGGCGCCCCTCACACGACGCCGGAGGCTTGGGGCTTCCCGGAGCGGGGCAGGCTCAGTGACCCAGCCTAGGGCCCAGTTCGGACCTTTATCATCTCAGACGCATTTTAGAGGCTCTTCATGATAGAATGATGAGAAATCAAAGGCCATGAGGAGATTCGGGAATGGGGCTGGAGTGAGCCCCTTATTACCCAAGCCACTCGGTGCCACCACCCCTCGGGAAAAGGGGAGGAAAGCTAATCCTCCCAGAAGAGGCTCTCCTTCTGATCTCCCCGGGCTCACACCCGCGCGGGGCGCCGGGCCCCCAGTCCCTGGCCCACCGCGGTCCCAGAACAGCAGACGAGGGACAGAGCCAGGTGACAGCGGGCGCGGAGCGAGGTCCGGGCCGGAAGGAGCCGGCTCCGCCCCCGCTCCCCTCCCTTCTAGTCTCACTCCTCCTCTCTTCCCTCCCTCCCCTCCCTCCTCCCCCCTCCTCTGCGCTCTCCCTCCCCTTCCATCCCCTCCTCCACCCCTTCTCGGCTCTTTCCTTCCCCTCTCCTCCACTCCTCTCACCTCTCGCCTCCCCTCCTCTGTCCTCCTCCCTCCTCCCCTCTTCCTCCTTCTCCTCCCCTCTTCCACCCCTCCCCTCTCTCCACCTCCCATCTTCTCCCCTCCCTCCTCCTCCCATCTTCTCCCCTCCTCTCTCTTTTCCCCTCCCCCTTGCCCCTCCTCCCCTCCCCTCTGTCGTCTTTCCTCCCTCCTCCCTCCTCCCCGCGCTCTGAAGAGCGCGCCGCGAAGGGGACTGGCCGGTTACTTCCTCCGGTGGCGGCACAGACCGCGGTGCGGCCCCATCCTCGAGCTCCCGGAGCCGCCTGCCTGCCCCCGGCCAGCTTCCCGGCTCCCGGCCCCCCGACCAGG